TATTATTATTATTATTATTATTATTATTATTATTTAACCATGTGAAATTATTATTATTTAACCATGTGAAATTATTATTATTATTTAACCATGTGAAATTATTTGGTACATTGAATCAGAAAGTGACAAGAGAGCAGACTCAGGACTTTATCCCACTAGCCTCTTATCTCACAATCATTGTGTTGCCAAAGGAAATGGGAACATACTGGTTTGAAAACAATCACTATCACACTTCTCTGCACCTGTACTACTATGCTGCTTTGGTGGTCCATGATCCCACCCTCGCTCTTCCACACCACCTCTTCCACACCAACCTATGTATGCCCAACCCACTGCATGTGTGCCTATTTATTTATTTATTTATTTTACCACATTTGCTCAATTACAACAAAACAATAATTAATAGGCAGAAGGGAGGGGGTGGAGACCTTAAATAAGCTTAGCTCTGCTCCCCCCAACTCTTCATCACGGTGCCCATGCACCAGAACATATTTCCTCTGGCCTCTCTTCTAAGAGGCCAGAAAAGGAATGTCCCTGGAGCCAGGCACACTGGCCTCGGGGTGGAGATTGTGCTCCCTACTAAATCTATGATATTAGGGTTTCCAGTTTGGGATTGTCCTGGGCCCTGGGGCTTCTGGGTCAAACATGAGACCTAGGAATAGCCCTGGTGATATCTTTATGCCAGGGGTAGGCAACTTTTCCCCTTTAAGGACCGAGGGACTTCAGCTCCCAGAAGCCTCAGCCATGTTGGCCAATAGTCCCATGTTGGCCAATAGCTCCTGGGATTCTGGGACCTGAAATCCCTCAGCCCTTAAAGGGGAAAGGTTGCCTACCCCTGCTTTATGCATTCAGTAGTAACAACAGTTGCTCACAGGCTTTCATTCAAACACACACACACACAGAGACAGACAGGTGGAGAGGGAGAGGGAGAGAGAGAAATTCTTAACCAAAGAATCTGTTGTCAGAACAAGGTGAAATGATGGGATGATTTATTTTAGTTACTTAGAGATAAATAATAATAATAATAATAATAATAATAATAATAATAAATTTTATTTATAGCCCACCCCTCTGCAGAGCAATCGGGGTGGGTTACAACATATTAAAACTGGCAACATATTAAAACATCTCTCATCCCATAATCCCACCCTCCCATCCCCTTAAAACAGAATTAAACTGGAAAAAAGAATTAAAATACAGCAATAAAATACAACAATAGACAAACAGTAAAACAAGGAATTGGAGTAATAAAATCAAATAAAAACTCATCTCCCAACAGTTATTCCGGGAAGGCCTGCCAGAAGAGGTCCATCTTTACTGGTTTTTTAAAAGCAGCAAGAGTAGTAATAAGATGGATCTCGTCCAGCAGGCCATTCCAAAGTCTAGGAGCAGTAGCTGAGAAGGCCTTTTGGGAGGTCTGGGTCAGCCTAGTTTTCAGTGGCTATAGCAGATTCCTCCCAGAGGATCTTAGGGCACGTGGGGGATCATATGGGAAGAGGCGGTCCCTAAGATAAGATGGACCCAAGCCATGTAGGGCTTTAAAGGTTAAAACCAACACTTTGTACTGTGCCAGGAAATACAAGTGACATTTAAACTAGCCTACTTGCTTCCAGCCAAAAGGTGGATGCAGAACAGAGTGGAGGGTGATCCATGGCACCACAACAACTGGAAGGAAAGGAGGAAGCTGACCAGAGTAAACACAGATATCATTTGGGAGTCTTTGCAAGTTGTTGTAGCCAATCAATTAAGTCTTGCAAATTTTTAGCAAGCTGCTGCTCTCTTAACTGAGATGGAAATGTGTACCCAACAGTTCCTTTTGCCCATTTCTGAGCCCAGAAAAAATAGAGAATTTGCACCATCTTCTGCCTGGAGATGGCACACAAAACTTGGAGACTCAGAGCCAGATCTCAAGATCTGTCCTCTTTCTATAGCATCCATGTGTAATCATATCTAATCACCCTTGGGTATATAACTAAAACAGATTATATATTGTTGACAAAAGTTGGTTGGAAGTCATGTTATTATTATATGTGGGCTCCAGATTGTTCATTGGGTGGGGGCAGAGAAAGAAAGGGAGAGACAGAAAACCAGAACTAAATTTATGTAGTACTGGTTC